TTGAGGTCTTGGGGACTGGACTGTTCTCACCAGGATGCCCTCTTGTTGCCCTCTGGGCAGGCCTGCGAGGCAAGTGGCCCCACCGAGTTTGAAAAGCAATGTATCACCTTCGCAGCTTCCGGCACCTGAAAAAGGAAGGAGGGGTCTGTTCATGCTGGCACAGCTCAGCCCTTGCTCCTCTAGACTCACCCACTTCTTACCTTCTGTGAACCTCATTCTCCCCTAACACTCCTGGGAAGCCCCAGCTGGCCTGGTCCACAGGACGCCACCCCATGGCCCCGCTGTGGAAAGGAGGGGTGGTGAGAAGCAACTTGGACAAGGGTGGACCAGCGTTCCACCACATCCCCTGGCCTCTTGGAGCACATAAGGTGGAACAAACTCTACCACAGGGGTTTCTGGGAAGCCTCAGAGCCTTGCAAACTGGAAGGCTGTCTTTCTCTTTTCTACACCTGGCGATGTCACGTCTTCCAGGACATCTCTAACCTCTCAAAGACAACGTCAGGGGGCCCTCACCACAGGTCTTGACTTGACCTCCTGTGCCCTCATGTCTGACTCCGCATCAGAATGTGAGCCTTGTTTATGCTGACCCCAGTGCCAGCAGGCGCCTGGTCAATAGTTCAGCACACTCAAAGTTTCCCCTTCCCTGGCTCTTCTCCCACCAGCAGGCTCACTGGGACCTGCTCCAGGATGGCACCTTGACGCCACACCCGACTCCTCACCTGCAGGTGTCTGGGTTGAGCTCTAAGCCCCGCCCTTGACAACGGAGGAAGCTGCGGCGTCGGCAGCGGCAGCGGCAGGTCCGGGGGTCAGGGCGCTGGCGGCGCTGGGGGCAGCGTGGGCAGAGGGGCCTGGGGCTGGAGTGGGATGGGTGATGTCAGCTGGGGAGGGTGCTCCGGGGGCAGGGTCCCAGCCCAGAACAGAGCGGGGCTGGGGACGGTGGTGGGGAGTGGAAGCCCTAGGAGGAGAAGCAACATGTCTCGGGTGAGAAGTAAGAGTCTTCCCGGGAGCTGGGGTTGGGGAAGAGCATATAGTCTTGGGGAGCAGAGGAAAAGGGGAGAGGGGGACACGAGTGGGAGGAGAAGGCGGGGGACCACAACTTCCTGACACACTCTTACACCCCCTGCCCCACCCACACATTACATTCTGGGTGCTGGGCCTGGGCTCCAACCCCACCTCAGCAAGAGCCCAAGACTCACCTGTCCAGCTTCACAGCACTCTCTCGTTTTTTTGGTCTGAAAAGTAAGAGAGACAGACAAAGACAAGGAAAAAGAGGATCAGGAAGCCAAGCATCCTACTCTCTTGCCCTAGATCCGAGGCCTACCTGGCTATACTCTTGGAAACCCGGTCCCCGCTGTGGTGTACCACCACACCTAGCACCCCCCAAGCCTTGTCTCTGCGAACTCAGGAGTGGGGCCTGGCTGGCACCTGCATTCACACTGGCTGTGTTCTTCCAGGGACATCTCTCCCAGCTGACTGCTTGGATACCGGATCATGAGGATCTGTGCTCAGAACAGGGAGAGAGACCGTCAGAGAGAGAGGAAAGGGACGCTCCATGGGCTGGAGAAATGAGAATACCTTGCCCACCAGCCAGGGCTCTGGCCGCCACCCTCTCAGTCCCCAGAACGCCAGCATCCAGCCAGGCACACTCCACCTGCCCCATACCTGCATTCGGACTTGGTGCTGCCCAGTGGGCACACACTCCAGGCCGTCGTCAGGGCAGCAGCCGCCACAGCGCTGCACCGTCACGCAGCTGGGCACCAGTTGCTTGGCCACAGTGCCCATGAGCTCCATGGTCAGGGGCACCACAACCTCCCGCGGCTGGCAGGTGGCACGAGCATACACGTCTATCCATGACACCACTGGGGGCAGATGCGTAAGGGTTAAGTCCCCACTGGGTTTCCTGCAGCTGCTCCCTGGTTCCCCTACCCCTGCGCCCAGAAGCTGTTCTCCTTTGTTCTCGTGTCACAGCCACCCTCCGCTAGCCCCTACTTCTGCCCTCCCAATCTCTCTTCCCTGTCCTGTTCATCCAGAACCCAGGAACCCCCCTGCCTCAATCTCCTCTTCTGTGAAATGGGCAGAATAAGAGTTTGCATCTTACAGAAGAGTGTGATTACACAAGATGAGGAATACAGAGTCTGGAATCAGGACTGGAAGAAAAGATTCTTAGTGCTGGCTAGTAGAAAGTTCCTATTGTTACTATTACCTTTCTTCTGATGACCAGGGGCATCAGGCTGGGAGACCGGGCCCTGCAGGAGAGAAGAAACCTGGACCCAAGGTGCACTCCAGGAAGGGCTAGCCCTGTCGCTGGCCCCAGGGCTCTGCCCTTGCAGTCAGGAGGCTTATTTCCAGACTACTCTGTTCCTGGGGCCACTCTAGCTTTACCTGTCCTCTCCAGGCCACCTGGGACCTGGGACCTGCCCTGTCTACAACCCCCCAGGCACGCTCTGCCGGCAGCGTCGAACCTCCAAGCCTAGGGACCGGGCTTGTTCTCGAGGCCGCAGATCAAGAGGGGGCACAGTGAGCGCCGAACCGCGTCCTGCAGGCACCGAGGCGGCCCCGCCCCCCGGCTGCGCCCTGGGGACGGGGTGGGGCGGGGGAGTGGCCCCGGAGTTGGGCCGGCGGGCGGGCGGGGAGGGACGCCTCCCGGGGGATGCCCAGGCCGGGCTCCCGAGACGCCCCCGTCCAAGGCCCGACCCCGCGGATCCCCGAGAACCCGGCCGCTCCGCGCCTCCCCACTTCCGCCAACCTTGAGAGAGGGCACGGCGGGCGGGCGGGTTGTCGCGGACGCACGTACCTGGGCGGGGGCCAGCTGCAGGAGCGCGGCGAGCAGCAGGCGGCGGAGCAGGGGGCTCATGGTGCCCGCAGGGGCCGCGCGCCGGGGGCGCCCGCATCGCCCTAGCCCGGCGGCGCGGGCGGCGGCGGCAGCCAGAGCCCCATGGCGCGGGCCCGGGAGCGGCGGGCGGGGGCCGGGCGCGGTGGGCGGCTCCTCCGCGGCCCCCTCCCGAGCCCTGGGCCCTGCGCTGCCTGCGCCCAGGG